TGTCACCACCGGAAAATCAAGGTAAGTCGTCAAAGAGAGAGAAAGAGTGGAAAACGCGCAACCCTTTTCGTTCTTCTTTATCTCTTACATTTTCGCATCATATAATAACGCACTACTTTAGTGTGACCAGCAACGCCCCGCCTGCTCATCGTGTGTGCGGAAGGGCCACAACTGCAAGTATCTCGAAGAAGACGAGTCGTATCGCAACCACCAACCGCCTCGGCCCGCTAAACCTCTCACTGCGGCAATTGTGAACCCATTGGATCCCTCTAAATACTTGGCGCCGCAAGAGTCCAACAACTCGAGCTCAGCGCTACTACCCGCCCTACCCATGAACACCCACGTTGAATTGGGCTTGCCGAGCACCAGTCGGCCCGGTTCCACCACCGGCCGGTCGACACCGGAAAAGCCAGAACGAAAGAAAAAGAAGGATGATATTAGAGAAAAGATCCTGAATGGGTACGACACGGATAGCGAAGAGGAAACGCCGAAAGAGGAGGACAAAAAGCAAGACGTTGATGTAGAGCTTGCTGCCTTGGTGGAGAATGAGATTGATGAGCTGGCGGACGACGGGGCGCAAGACCAGAGGAGTCAGAAGAGGAGCGTCTCTGTGGACGACGATATCAATGGCGAGGTGAGTCTTGAAGTGTGTAGGTAGACCAAGCTGACGTTGGCAGCTACTTGAACTGGCATCTGGCCCGCCAAAGAAGAAGAAGAAGAAGAAGAAACCATCGATGCAGCCGCCCTTGCCCCAGGTCCCCCCGTCCAGCTCGATGCAATTCATCCCCCAACTCCCACCCAATGCTCCCCCACACCATCGCTCTATCCGCGCCGCCCCTCCTCCGCTCACGAACTCGCGCCATCTGTCGATATCTGCGCCGAGTTTCCCGCCAACACCGGGTACGAGCAATCCCATCGGCTCCCACCCCTCCCAACGCTCCATCTCCAACCACGTATCCCCGGGTGACGACCCCTACTCTTTCCCTCTTCAAAACCTCGCGCTTTCTTTGCCCACGCCAGAGGCACAGGGCATACTGCTGAGGGGATTCTGGTCAGATCCAATCTTGACGGAAGGCATTGCACTGCTGCAATCGCAGTTCCACGAAGATTATGCGCGGATGATGAAACGGCTGCCTACGCGGACTGCCCTGGGCGATGCCACCACCCTGGCACTGCTCTACCTGATCTTGGCATGTGCTCTACGGATCATGCCAGAAGATACAAGCCGCCTGTTACTAGCAGCGCACAACAACACCCCCGTTCCCCGTTCCCTCTCCCGCATCATCTCGGGCCAGCCTCCGTCGGCTGTAGACCCTTCGCCTCTGGACCACCGATACCTCGATCACGCCGAAGCGTGCATGACGTTTGCAAAGCAGTGGGATACCTCTACTGTCATGACGGTCATGTACAAGCTTGTCTTGTGGCGGTACCATAATCTCTGGGATAGGGATAGCAGGAAAATATCCCAGGCAGCGGCGGATCTGGCGAGTGGGATCAAGAGTGCACAGGGGCAGGGATTGGGGAAAGAGTGGCATGGATTGCAGCAGGCGGATAGAGAGTTGAGAAGGAGGATTGTTTGGGCGCTGTATAGTGCAGACAGGCAGTATTCCTTGCAAGTTGCCTTTTCTTCACCTGTTTTGCGCTAATGAATCGTTAGCGAATCGCATGTCCCGTATACCATTGTGGATGTCCACCTGGGTATCAACTATCCGACTGCACTCACAGATGCCGAACTGTTCGCCGCGCCCTCAACAGTCCTCGCCCTGCCCACATCCACCGACGGCGCCCCAACTGAAAATACCGCCTTCCTCCTCCAAGTCCAGCTCGTCCGGCGCCTGACCAGTATTCTTGACGCATTCGCCACCATCGGCCCGCCCCACGTCGAGCACGAACGTATCCTTTCTTATGACGCCACTCTCGACGGCTACCAAGAGTCGCTACCCCCAGCATTCAGAGTCTTCCCAGTGACAGACACAAGGTGGGACGCCGGGATGCCGTTCTTGCCTGTACAAAGAGTACGCCTACACGCCATGCTTTTCGGATTCCGAACAGGCGTGCATAGGACGCATTTGGGGAGATACCTGCAGCCCCAAGCGCCCATTGGCGTACGCCAAGTCATCTCCTCCATCTGCCTCTCCTCCCTCCGCGTCCAACGGTCCGCCAAGATGCTCGACCCCACCGTCGGTCTCCGCCTCTTTTCGCCGCAGACGGTATTCGAAAATTTGGCTGTGCTCTGTTTGATCTTGTATGTCGACAAGATGCTTATGGCGGATGTGGCGCTGGCGTCGGGTGGAGGGACGGGTCTGAGGACGGTGGATTTCATGAGTATGAGGAGTGGTGTGGCGGATGCGCTCGAGTTGTTGGATATGACTGTATCGGGTCCTTCTGGGAGCGTGAATATTGCCAAGAAGGGGGCGCAGGTTGTCAGGGCTATGATCAATGTCATAGATGCGCCGCTGGACCTGTAAGTGTCTCGTCTATTCTCTTTTGGATTGAGGCTGATTTGAGTAGGACCATAGCCCAGGTGCAGATGAACGGCGCGGCGAACGGCAACTCTCCCGTGGTACCCGACAACAACGACACACCAAACAACTTTGCCCATGAAGACCCGCCCACACCCATCTTGAGCCAGATCCAACCCATCGACGAGTCCGCAGGACAAGCAGGGAATGGCATCCTCACCAGACCCTCGTCGCCTACAAATTCCACCGCTTTCCGTCCCCCGCGCATAACGCCCCCAGGCGCTACCACCACCCCCAGCGCCCCCGGCGGTCCTGGCACGCCCATCCAAGCCGGTACTGCAGGCCTCGCCCAAGGGCAACTCGGCCCACACGCTCAAAAGGTCATTAGCTGGATTGCAGCTATCCAAGGCCCGGAGGGGAATGGGATGGTGATGGATGGGTTGTTGAAGGAGCCGAATCGGGTTGGGGCGTGGGATAGGGTGGTGGGCAGTATGTGAGTGGGGGTTACGGGGTGTACAAGTATAAAATCGCACTTGTCATAATAGCTGTTAACATGGGTCTTGGGATTTCATCCTATACATATAGAATGTAGTAGCTAGGTATGCTACTCGTGTATATCATGGTTCATAAGATTGGACCCGGGTGTCGTGGAGCAGTTGCAGTGTGAAGTGCATGGAGCAATAGAGCTATGAGAACGAAAGAGTGGAAAGAAGATTATTGCAGATAGAGGAAACCAGCTCCTCAACCTCTCTCAGATGCAAAAAGACCATCTAATCGACCGAAAAACAAGGACCAGAGAACGAAAAGAGCGAACATGCTAGTGCTGTTGTGGCGCTATGATACAAAAAGGAGACAACTTGAGAACCAAATAACCCAGAAACGCAACATAACCCCGCAAGGATGAGGTTCACATAATCACACAACACCCCATCTTCTCGTCCTCTCCCCTTCCTCCACCCTGCCGTCTCTGCCCCTCTTTCCCACTTCTGCTGCTTACCGGACGCGAACTTCCTGATGAATAGCCATACGACCCGCTCTTGAGGTTGTCTCGAGAAGAGTGGTGGGTTGGGTATCGTTCCTTTTCGCGGTAGGACGGCTGGGGTTGGGAGAGGAAGGGGCCTTCGAGGAGTCTTTGGGACGCGAGGGATATGCGCTGGAGAGAATTGTCAGTGGCGTGGTCGGGCAGGTGTTTACACTCGGTCTTTTGGGTAGATAGTTGACCGAGCCCGAAGGAGATGCAATCGGTTTTAGACCCGATACCGGGCGCATATTTCCCGCTGGAATTGAAACTGTAAAACTCACTCGTTCATCCTTTCTGACCAGCTTGACCAGCTCGCGAAAGGCCACATCGACATTCACCCCGTCCGCCGCTGAACACTCGATGAATGGCGCCGAGAGCGATCTTGCAAGTTCACGTCCTTCCAGCTGCCCCACCGCGCGATACTTTTGCAGGTCACACTATTGTTTGCCATACGTCAGCCTCGGGAACCGGTACCGAGGGAAGTTAGAAGTGAAAGGGGAGAAGAGACACACCTTGTTGCAGACGACAACACAAGGCACGTAATCACGATCCTTTACCCGCAGGATCTCTTGATGAAAGTTCTTGATCTCTTCAAAGGTGGGCCGGTCTGTCAGAGAGTAGACGAGCAAGAAGCCCGAGCCGAACGTGTACCATTGGTCGGCCATGGCTGCGTATTCCTCTGTATGGTACACATTAGCTACTGACGCGGGTGGGGACAGGCGTGGGGGAGATATTGACTCACCTTGTCCTGCGGTATCGAGTATTTCCAGCTGGGCTGCTTCATCGTCTACGACCACTTGCTTGCGATATGAATCTTCTATCGTAGGATTGTAGCCTCTAGGATAATGGTCAGCGGTCCTGGTCAGAGGAGGGGAATGGGCGGCGTACTGGTCGTAGAATTGAGATGTGACGAATCGCATTGTCAGACTGGATTTTCCGACACCTGGAGAGTGTTGCGTGAGTACGAGAATGACGCGAAAGGGCTTAGCTTACCGCCGAGACCGACGACGACGAGCTTCTGCTCCCTGGCATGGAATCCTCTTCCGGACATGGTGGCGAGAGTGAGTAGTGGGATGGGATGGAGTTGTAAGTAGAGAGTGGCGCAGTTGACGCAAGACGAGAAAGGAAGCGGTATATATGTTCTGGTTCAGGATGAGATGCGAATGATAAACGATTCGCTCGCGAGATGAGGCATACACTCGCTGACGGAAAGGCGGTGGGATCGGATTGATGGTGAATCCTGGATCCTGATCAGGGCAGCCATCCGAAAGGGACACCCACACGGCCGTACATACACACCCAGCACCGCACAGACAGCAGACGTACACTCGGCGTGGTCATTTGCTGTGACGCTTGGAGAGACTGGGCACAGCCTGCGTGGCTAGTGCAGCATAGCTGGAGTATAGCATGAATGGGGAGGGACGAATGAAGAGGGGATGATAGAGGACATACGCGCATCGCTCCCCCGCCGTGCGAGGACAGGGATGACGAGAACACATACACTGTCTGTGTGCGTCCTTCAACATTCCCCATGTGTGCATACGTAAACATGTACTACATCCTCCCATCACTCTGTCGCCGCCCTTACACTGTCCAATGGAACGCCCTTCCCGGCAAAGATCACAGTCGCTGGTCCCTCGAGCTCATCCCTGGTGACTGTGTTATTGTAGAAGGGATTGTTCCTCCGTGGAAAGCTGGGCCTCCAGTGGGTCCTTCGAGCCCGTGATGGGGTTTCGGCATGCCGCGACCGGAATGCTGGCGTATCTCTTCGAGAGCTCAGAACGCGAAGCGGGAGAAATGGTCGGTAACTCTTCGAGATTGCCCCGAGGCGCTAGCTGACTCACACCAGGATGAGCAGTATCGCCCTTCCCATCGGCCAGAACGAAACAGTCTCCCCTATCTCTGGCCGCCTTCCCTTCGCCACAGCCTCTCTCTTTGGCAAGACAGATCTCCCCAATACTGCCACTCTCCTCAAAGCCGGTCTCCTCGTGACCGTCCTTCTCTTCCTCCTTTTCCCGCTTCAGGTCACCAGCAGCAGCAGCTGGCGCCTCCCCTGCCTTCTTCATTGGACATTTCGTGACGTTATGCCCCATTTCCCGACAGTACCACATAGTTCCTGCCTCCCCGAACCGGCTCTTCCCCGGACGCGGCAACACAACGCTTCTTCTTCGAGGCCTCGGTGATTGGCTCACCGTGAATTTTGCGCCTGTCTGCGCGTCGCATCAGTATCAATATTAAGCAAAAGAACAGCCTACACACCACTGAGACCGTTTAGGGTACGGTTGGTCGACCTTTGGGACATCTGCACGCCGGTTTGCTGCTCGACCAGCGAGATAGCAGTCTTGCTTTTTGTTTCCTATTCGATTCCGGAAGAGCGAAGCTACGAGGCTTGTAAGTAATGCTATCAACTCAAGCGTGGAGATTACAACATACCTGATGCTCTCGGAACTGGAATCTGAGCGCTCCGACTCGAGGGGCTAGTACTCCAGGCTTACAACTGTGCTTTAGTCGCAGTCCAGTAATGACCCACGCATCGGGCACACCTGAGGCGCGCGCTCTGACAATATAGTCACACCCAGTTGTTTTGGCATGGTAACAAATGAGGCTACGATAGGCCTTATTGCGAAGACCCCATCTACTAGACGCCATGTCCTGTTGCGCTGAGTGATGCGCAACCTGTCCATACAGCGCGTCCTTGTTGGCGAAGACTTGGCCCACATACAGCTGGACGGGTGGAGGAGGATCACGAAGTGTTTCTCCTTGGGTGGCAGGCACACTGCGACGAACACGTCAATATAAGTAAGGATGTGACGGGAGGAGGCTCTTACATTTCATGGATATTCTCCACGTTTCGCGAAAAGACAGTAGCCATAGTAAGTCTTTGTGTGGGCTGTGTAGCTTTGGTTGAGGTAATGGGCGGTTCAGAAACTGAAGAGTTGTCTACGTATCAAACGACGCAAGAGAAGGTTGCAATTGAGCGACCACGAGCAACAAAACGCGTCGCCTTCTAGCATCTTCTAATGGTATTTACAGGAGGTGCATCGTATTTAGGAGGCCGGAAATGGCGGACTCATGTTAGAAAAATGGATGGTCGCGTTATGACTGGAAAATATTGGAAAGGTCGCATTGTGTCCGCGGAAAAAGTTGGTGGTCGCATTGTGGCTCGGGAAAAGTGTATATGACGTCACGGTCGCATTATGGCCAGGGCGGAAAAGATGTGATGGTCGCATTGTGTCCGGAAAACTTGATTTTGGTCGCAGGAAGTCTTTTTGTTTGGGCGCCTCTGCAACCTTTCCACGAACAGCTTAAAGTTTTTTCTTCATGAACGACCGTCACCTGTGGTTTCCATCAACGATTGGGCGAGTAAATCACTGATACGAATATGTTGACTGTCGGTAGCCGGTAGACAGACACGCGGGGCACTGGCGGGGCTCCCCGCCGCCGATAAGCTTGTGTATGCCACGTCACGAGGGCCCCTCTATTGTTGTTCCATCCGCCCATCTCCTCTTGCATCTCCATCTCACAGCCAGCCTCCCATATACCCACAGCCCTCGAGTAGCACGATATCCCTGCGTGACAAGTAACCCCGAGTCTGACGCTTGTATCGCCACTCGACATCGACCGGTCCCTGGCCACCCCGGCAAGAACTTTTAAACTCCGCCGGTATGTCGTCTACCACTTCTTCCCCAACCTCAACCGCCACCTCCGTCTCTGCTTCCACGACAGCAGCAACCAATGACGTCTCCTCATCCAGCTCATTTTACAAGAACCTATTCTACATCTTGATAGGCCTCTTGGTCATTTTCGCCCTGGTTTCCTTTTTGTCGCTGCTCAAAGCAAGGCGAAGACGGCGGGCCATCATCGAAGAGGTAAGCCCGATGCAAAAGCGATCGACCTGAAAGTGACAGATGCACAGGCGGAACGTCTAGGTGTCATGGTCCCAGGCATACCAGGCTACGTTCCCTTGCGCGACCGCCACGGCTATCAATGGCTCCGATCCAACGGCAAACAATCACCCGAATGGTGGGACATTTCTGGAGACCCAGACAAGCTGGATGAAGGGACCGTGAGCAAGGCAGGGAGCAGGATGGGGAGTTCGCATCCGAGTATGGCTAGTTTGCAAGTGCCGGGGGAGGGGGCGAGGTCGAGGCATCGAGCGAGTGGAGGGAGATTGAATGATCCGTCAGATTTCGTATGTCCCCTCGCTACTTTTTCCGGATGGAAAGCTGAGACCAGGCAGACACCCGTTGCTCTGGTCCCGCCGCCGCCGCCTTCAGAACCCCTCGGGCCCGTACCACAATCATCCGTACCCCATTTCCCAAATCACCTCGCCTACCGCCCTTCCTCCATCCTCCCGCCCAAAGCGAGGTTTGACAATATCACACCGGGAGAATTGGGCAAGCTGGAAGGACTGGTGGGAGAAGGGGTCGAAGTCGTAGGGATTGTGAGAATGCCGGTTCCGCCTTGGGTCTGTCAACGCAGGGGCTCGGACGATGAAGAGGATGGTCAGGAGATATTGAGAGAGTGGGGAGGGGTCGAGCTGGGGGTTGCAAGGATGCAAGTGAAGCGTTGACTTGTACTTTGGCTTTTTGGGTCTTTTGGTTCTTCTTTATATCTATAGTTATCATCATAGGATGTAGTAATCTGAGTACATGTATTCATCTTGATTGTATATACAAACTGGTCACATGCGGAAGATACCCCAGTCGCCGGCATCTCCATCAGCCCCGACTTCACCTCTCGTACCACCCCCAGAACCGTGCCCTCTGAGAGCGCGTTCTTCGTGTGCGAGCTCGAGCCCAAGCCCAAGGATATCCCGAGTATCAGTAGGTTTGATGATCCCATCATCCTACCTCTCGTCATCAGCTCCTTCCCCACCCTCGCGGCTCAACTCACCCAGATCCTCGCACTCGCATAAATCCCCCGACACTGCCCCTCAATCTTCCTCTTCAACTCTTCCCTCTTCTTCTCTGCCTTTTCTTTTTGCGCGTCCGTCTGCTGCCCGGGGCGTTTGCCTTCGACGCTGTGCATGACGGTGGACAGTTGGTCGGGGCCCATGACGCCGACTTTGGCGTTGGGCCACATGAAGAGGAACCTCGGCGAGTAGGCTCTGCCGCACATTCCATAATTCCCCGCTCTTCCCCCTCCCATCAGTCCATACCCCCCACAAGAAAGGAAGAAAGAGAGAAAGAGGGGTGCTCACCCAAAACTGCCTCCGACAATGATGGAAAACTTTTCAACCTTTGCCCTCGCCACCGCCCTCACCATCTTTGCCCCATCCTTCGCTATCCCCCCCCTCTCCGCCTTCTCCCCAACCATATACCCACTGACATTCGTCAGAAACACCAACGGTATCCCGTGCTTCGAGCACGTCGTGATAAAGTGCGTCGCCTTCAAAGCAGAGGGGGAGAGGATGGGCCCGTGGTTGGCGAGGATACCGACGGTGTAGCCGTGGATCTGGGCGAAGCCGCAGACGATGGTGGGGCCGTAGGAGGGTTTGAATTCGCGGAATTGGGAGGCGTCGACGAGGCGGGCGATGAGTTCGCGGGGGTCGTAGGATTGGCGGGGGTCGGGGGGGATGAGAGCGTTCAGGTCGGCGGCGGGGTAGAGGGGGGGTTGGATGTGTTTCTGGGAGCGGGAGGGGGAGGGGGAGGGGGAGAGGTCGTGGATGGCTTCGCGGGCGAGGGAGAGGGCGTGGGAGTCAGATTGGGCGAGGTAGTCTGCAACGCCAGAAACCGACGTATGCATCTCTCCACCGCCTTTCGAGATCATCCACTCGTTAGCCCATATTTCTCCGTGTGGACTTGAAAGCTCACCGAGAGATTCTTCATTGACGACTTCGCCCGTGGCAGCTTTGACCAAAGGCGGTCCCGCGAGAAAGATGTGGCCCTGCTCTTTCACGATGATGACCAGATCAGACATCGCCGGCATATACGCACCGCCTGCGACGCTTATCCCATGGACGACGCTGATCTGGGGGATACCCAGAGAAGACATGCGGGCCATGTTGTAAAAAATACGGCCAAAGTGATCCTTACCCCCTACAAGTCAGAATTGCGGGTAAGATGGAAGGAGAGGGGCGTACATGGTCGGGAAAGACTTCGGCTTGGTATGGAAGCGCGGCACCGCCAGATTCGACTAGGTAGATGCAGGGTAGTTGATTCTCCAGAGCGATCTGTTGTGCTCGGAGATGTTTCTTGACCTATTCCATTACATCACGTCAGCGCTACGCTTTATATAAGAAAGAGACGAGGAGCGCACAGTAAGAGGAAAGTAGGTACCGCCTTTGACGGTCGGGTCGTTGCCTATGATCATACACTTCCGGCCCGCTACCATGCCTGAGGCCTGTCAGCTGGGTCTACAAGTATATCCGTGGGGGGTGAAAGACGGACCGATGCCGGTGACGATACCAGCCCCGGGCAGGGGATCCGGGTACACTTCATGGGCTGCCAATGGCGAGAGCTCTATGAACGGGCTCGCGGGGTCCAGTAACGCCGCCACTCTACACCTTGTCAGCATACAGTCAAGGTGAAAGACAGAAAAGCATTACCGTTCTCGCACAGCAAGCTTTCCCTTCCCCCGCTGCTTCCACCTCTCCAACACCTCCTTGCCACCCCCTTCTCTCGCTCTCGCCCGGAGATCTTCTGTATCGCGTATCAACTCTTCCATCCATTTCCTGTTGGTATCCGCCTCGGGGGAGGTGGGGGAGAAGGTGGTGGGCAGAGGGCGGGGGGTGATGAGCGGTCTTGGTGGCTGGGGGATGAGGGTGCGGGTGAGGGCGCGGGATGCGCCTATGGGTAGGGGGCGGGGGCGAGGACGGGTGAGGAATATGCGCGCCATGGTAGAATAGATGGACAAAAGATGGGATGCATGGGCTATATACTCTCTGTGGTGGCTTGTGACCAAGAGATGGACATGTGAGGACAAGGTGGACCTCTCGGCAACAACGTCACCCGGCGCGGTGTCCCGATCTCGCCGCGTTGAGTGACTCTCGAGCGTCCACGAGATGTTGGAAGTGGCCCTCGTCTATGGTCAAGGTCAGTTCACTTTGATGTAGAGCGTTCAGCAGTATACATACAATAAGAAGTGCGCACAGGATTCGAGGCTGAGTGTAGACGGCACGCCGATATAGCAGCGCTGACGCTGTGATTGGCTGCAATCAGTGCTGTGCATAGTGTCAGTCAAAACCCAGGTCTGCAAGTACACAGAAGATATGTAGACAGCGAGAGCTGAGATGGACAGTGACACCATGCTCAGGATGGATCTCATCGAAGAAATGCTCCCGTCGAGTCGCGTCTCTACAACGCGCTCCCTTGGATGTCCTCTCTGCCCCACAAGGTTCATCCCGCGATGTCGACCGGCTCGCCCTCCTCTCTTCACCCGCAGCCCCAGCCCCGCATCACCCGCTCTCCAGGGGGCAACAGGCTCTCCACCGTCCTCGCCAGCAGCCCTCTTTCATCCTCACCCTCCTCCGTCCACGCTCCTGTCGCCAGCGTTCCTCTCCGCGATGAGCCAGAACGAGACACAGCCATGTCCATGGACAGGACCAACAGTGGTGAGTTGCATAGTGACACACGCGTATTTCCAGGGGGGGGGGGCATAGCGCAGGGTCTACTCGCATCATGTGCTAACCCAATATTTCCTTTTCCCCGCAGCTCTGTCCACCACCTCTACATCCTCTCTACCCCCTCGCCCCCTCCCCCGCCGACGCTCCACAGACGCCTCGGGCGGCCTCGATTACTACTGGTCATCCCTCGCCGGCGCCGGCGCGTCCAGTTCGTCTTCTTCCCTCGCATTGTCGCTTGCGTCCCCTGGCGGGGGCAGTGCGATGGCGCTCAGTCCGCCTGGTGGTAATGCAAGTCTGAGCGGGTCCCCCACTGCTACTGGGCTAAAGCAGATGAGGAGCCATGGAAATCTGGGGATGAATGCTGGAGGTGGGAGGCAGAATTCGGATGGAGGATACTTTGGGTACGGCCAGCAGACTCACTTGGGTGCGCCACAAAGACCAAACTATAACCGCGCCGACTCTGGATCGTCCACGGATTCCCAGAACCCCAATCCAAACTACATCTCGTCGCCTCTATCCATCTCGGGCAATCGTCCCCTGGCTGCCGATCATCTCGCATCCAGCCCCGGAGGCTGGTCGGCTTCGAGCAACTATTCCAAATCTGCCACATCGGGGCTGTCGGTTGCAGGGCTTGACTTGCAGCAGAGACAGTGGTCGTATACTACGGACGAGAGCTCGTCGAGCGATAGCCAATACTCGCCCGTGAGCTACCGCAAAAAGCTGGACGAGCCCACTCAAGATTTTTCGGCGCAAGACAGACGCTGGCAAGTCCGTTCCAGTGCACAATCCGGTACGACCTACGTCCCCGACAAGGAAGATACCTCCGACATCCCACCCCCCAAACCCCAACCCCAGATGCAAGACAAGGACTGGGAAAAGACGCCCCGCGAGGCAGAGGTGGAGCAATTCACAACGCCGACTGCTGCAGCCTGGCAAGAACGGCCGGATCTGCGTCCTCCGCAGTTTGTATTTGCCACTGGAGATCGAGCGGGGGAGAGGCTGTCGCCGGCGGGTTCGAGCTCGAGCCATACGCATACCCAGGGGAGGGGTACGCCTGTGACGGGTACGAGCTCTGCCAGCCGGTATACACCCACCAACCCACCTTCCTCTGCGCGGCCGTCATCTCCCTATGTCCGCACGCCGCAAAGTGCTGGGAACCCCACAGGCCCTTTGGCCCATTTCGCCGCGAATAGAGAGACACCGAGGAGCGCGCCGGCTTGGAAATCCGAGTTTGAGCTGAGTGGAGGGAATGCTGAAGGGGAAGAGGAGGATACGGTGAAGGGGAGGAATAGGAGGACGTTGCCTGCTGTTGCGCCGAGTAGCTCGACTGATCTGGCGGGTATCATGAATGGGGATCAAGCAGACCAGTGAGTTCATTTGTCTCTGTGAAAACGGTAGCTAATGGGCGTAGACCTATACTAGTATTCCCAGTGACGTCCGAGCCCGAACCCATCAACAAATCTCTACCGACCATAACACATACCCCTCACTCCCCCTTTCCCTCCCCGCCGCCCAAAGACAACAGACCTCCCACCAAAACCAACCTCTCCTCCTCCTCCCTCGCTTCCTCATCTTCATCTCTTTCTGCACCCCCCGCGAGGCCTGATCGTTCGCCCTCGAGGGGCACTGCTCCGACGTCCACGTTTACAACCTCGCCGAGCATTTCCGAGCTGACAGAGATGCTGGGAGGCGCGATCGATGAAATTGGGTTGATCGATTCGAGGGATACGCCCCCGCCGACCATCAGTGCCCCGCCCAAGAATGCTGGTTCTGGTTCTTCCGAGTCCAACTCTAGTGCGAGTAGTGGACTTAAGAAGAGGCCGCAGATGAGTTTGGATACGGATGTGTCGGGAGATGGAAAGGGTCTTGAACCGCCGGCAGAGCTGGTGAATAAGGGAGAGAAGGAGCCGATCACACCGACATCGTTGCCTCAGAGAGGCATGTCGTTGGCGGCGAGTGAAGACGCCGAGGAGGAAGGTCAAGCAGGGATGGGCGTCGCATCGACTCTACCCGCATCTCCTACCCGTACTTCTCCCTCGGACTACCATTCACCCCTGCCCGAGCACCCTTCATTACCTGGAGGATCAGTCAACTACCCACCGCTTCCCCGGCCTTGGCCGTCGGCAATGCAGACGACGCAGATCAAATCTCTCGCGTCTCCGGGCGCCCGTGCGCTGGCCTATGCGCGCGCGATCAACGAGCTGTCGCGCGGCGATACCGGCTTGGGCTGGTGGTGCACCCATATGCAGGGCGAGATGAATCGGCCCATCAGTGGGAGCCGGGCCCCGAATATGAGGAAATTCAAGATGGGGTCTGTCAACTCGGCGGGCGGTGGCGGTGGGTTGGTCATTTCGGAACCGAGCAACTTTGTACAGGGCACGCCGGTGTCGCCTTCAGCTCCCCCGATGCTGGACCTTGCACCAGTCAATCCGCATCCGAGGAATGTGAGCACCGGCTCTGAATTCCCTATGCGCGCAGACTCTTACTCTGCGCGCGAAATCTCGCAACGCGTCGTTGACCCTGCGGACCAGCCCACCGCGCTCCCTGCCAACTTGCCGTACCCGCAAGTGCAGCAAGCTGCCAATAACCCCGGGTTCAATGGTGGAGGCGGTCTGAGGCCGAGTCAGTCGATGCAGTCGGTATCGAGCTTTGCGTCGGGAAAAAAGGGGTTCTTCTCGGCTATCCGGAAGGGCGGGTCGAAGAAGGAGAGCATGTCCCTCGGTCCGCCCACTTCTTCGCCTATAGCTACCTCGCCGGGGGGAAGTGTGGGGAAAAAGGATATCCGTGGTTTACCCATCTCTGCCCCTCGCGCGGGCACAGCCAGCCCCCAGAAATCCGGCGGCGCCGAAAGCCCAGGCGGCCTGCAAGCCCCTCGCGTCCAAGCTTCCATCTCATCACCCATGGGTCCCCGAGGTCCGCGTTCAGCAGTATCGCCCAAAGCTTCCTCTCCCTCTCAGTCTCCATCGCGTGAACATCATGGGCGGTCTAGTCTTGATACGGGCTTGGCGAGGATGATGCCCCCGCCGGCTTTGGGTAGGGGCGAGAGGGAGGGGAGAGGGAGTTTGGATGGGGGAGTGGTTGTTATTGGGAAAGAGCGCCAGGCGCCTGTCAGTGCACCGTCACCCTTGTCTGCTGGATCTGGAGCGGGAGGGGTCAGTGGGATAGATGATATTAGGACGATGGTGGAAGTGTTGCCGCACGTGGAGAAGAGCGTATTGAGAGCGTACCTTGTGAATAATGGGAATGACCAGATGAGGGCTCTTGGGTGAGTCATAGCGATTGGTTTGGGAACATTACTGACGAGCCACAGGGCGTATCTGGAAGACGAGAGACATGGGACAGTGCGGTATTGAAAGGGAGCTTGATATAAACACGGAGCGACATAATGACGGCCATACCTTGATGTTCTAACGACTAGTATCCTATATACTGATGCATATGCTCTACTACGTGACCCTAGGAAGAGAATTGCGCCACCAAGTATTGACTGACACTCGTAGGACTCAACGGCGCCCCCAAGTCTGTAATGATGAAATCGATCAAATCCGGAGTAGTCACATCGACCATCGGATTATTCTCTTCCATCTCTTTTGTCATTTCCGTTCTAGTGAACGGCTTGCCACCGTCACCATCCCGGCCAGAGAACTGGGGTGGGGTAGCAGGCGCTTGGGGCGTTGGGGGATGGGAAGGAGCACGAGATTGAGGGGCCTGGGAGGAAGGCCTGGAGAGAGGGGCGGTGGGTTGGAACAACGAAGGCGCGTTGGGCAAGTTGGTGTTGAACTCCAACGGGATGGTGGACCTCGGCACGGACGATGGGGCAGACGGGGCTGCTGTGGAAGAGGCGGCAGAAGGCATGGGGAGGTCGGTCTGCGAGAGAGGGTAGTGACGGAGGAATTTGTAGGATTCGGCGAGGGCGTAGAAGGGTTTTTGCATGACCTTGGCGGTGAGAGCGACCTGGTAGGTGCCGACAGAAGAGACAAGGCCCTAGACATGGGTCAGCTTGGGGCACACTGCTTGGGACGGGAACGTACGCCGCTCTCGACGACAGCCTCAGAACCGACAAGCACCATGTCGACACGCTCCATCACATATGCCACGGCGCTGTCCAGTACCACTTCACAGGGGATGCCGTTCGCTGTGAGGATCTGGTGGGTCTTCATACTGCACTCAATCAGCTTGTCTCTTTTGAACAGGAAAGCGACAAACCCGAGACAACCTGGTCGGGCTTCCGTGACGTAGACTCGTATTCTCTTGTGCTGCTGGTGAGCTCGGA